TGCAAAAGCAGTGAAAGAAAAAACCTGCCAATGGTCAATGGTTCCAAAATTGCATTACTGCAATGAGCTAGCCATTCAAGGCTTGACTCTGAACCCTCGCTATGTGTGGTGTTATGGAAGTGAAGATTTTGTTGGAAGGCTGTCTGAGCTTGGCTCCAGCTGCCTGAGGGGGGTGTCAACTTGCGACATGCCATTTTTGCTGTCAGAGAAACTTGATGTAGCAATGACTTTGCAGCTGGGCCAATCTGCCTAAGGAAAAAAGTGCTTTTGCCAGCAGCTCTTGTCTGGGGCCAGGAGTGGTTAATTGTGATGTGGGGCTGGGGGGCGCGAAGTTGTGGCAATCCTAAATTTAAGGTTCGTGCTGAGGAGGGCATTTGCCAACAGCTTTCAGGTGGGGCTGGGGGTGGTGGGAAGGTGGGGCATGACTGCAAAGTCATGTTCTCTGGGGGTGGTGGGAGGGTGGGAAATGACTGCAAAGTCATAAATATGACTGCAAAGTCAGAAGGTTCCTCATTGCAAAGTCAAAGCAATTTAGGAAGGAAACCTTCAAAATAGCTAGTTGCTAGGGAAGGTCAAATATTGATATTTTTGACAAACCAATCTTGCAATATTGATATTACACCACTTACCAATCCACGATGGGAAATACCAATCTCGATTGGTTTTTTCCATCTCGCGCGAAACAAACCAATACCGGAGACTTAGGGATGGTGGTAGAGTTCTTCAACGATGCCGCACAGTCGGGAACGGGCTCAATCTTGATGTGCCCTAAGGCCTTTGAGTGAATGACCTCCCTTTCATTGATCCTTGATGGGCTAGTTGGAAAGTCCATAAGATTTGGATCATGGGAGATCTGAATGCCACTTGACAGGGAACTCTTGGCCCGAGTATCCGGCAAGCAAGGTGGGCCTTTGGGAAGCCGTGCCATCACGTTCGACTTTGGTCAATCGATCGGACAAATCCTGGAAGGCTCTCATCACTTGATCAAGGTTATTTTGACCTTGGGATTGCTGATCATCTTGATGAACTCCAGGCGGAGTAGCTATATTGTACACTCTGGGGGTCCCTTCATCCTGAGGTTGCAGAATTTCAATCTCATGAGCCATCTGCTGAGTGAGGGAATCTTTGGAAGCTACCTGACGCTGAAGCTCTTCAATTTGGGGTTTGTGGCTGAGCATTTACTACTGCAGCATGCTCATATTTTGACCCCTCTCATGAATGGCCTTATTCATTGAGTTCATGACTTCAAGTTGATGACCAATCTGCTGGACCAAATTAGCAATTTCCTGCTTAGCTTGATCATAGATCTCTTGAGCGATTCCTTCAGCTGCCTCAGCCCTCCTACGTTGGACTATCCGTCATTTGAGGAATTTGGTTGGTCCAAGCTCACATCATTTGGATCGCTCTCAAAAGCTGATTCATGGGTACCATTTCCTCTGACTGAACATGGTTCTGACGGTCAGGCGTGGTGGCCATTGGTGCTGAATCGTGCGGCCCCGATGACCGAGAATCTGGCCTAGACCTTGTGGCACCTCGAACAGCTCCCACAAGAGATCTTGCAAAGAGTCTGTCCTATCAGGCGATGATTGCGACATTGCCGGCGTGCATTATGAAAGGCAAATGATGGGGATGAATATGCAAATGATCATGCACCTACCGGGATCGCACACAGGCTGCTATTTCACACACTCGGCAGTTGCTGGTCTCCACAAACGGCGGAATCACCGACGAAGATTCTTCGGGTGATGCTGATCCAAGATCACCTGAATCATCGGCAATGCATCAGTGATAGACCAAAAATACTGCACGTTTGCGCACTGCGGCTTGCGAGGCACCCTGGTTCCAATAGCCGTGCACCAACGATTGGAGTTGATCTCCTCGAGGGCGTTCTTGTCGTCGTCCAAGTGGACCACCCTAGCGCGTGGATAAATAGATGTCAAGGCCTCAAGCTTCCCCTCCGGGCCACACCTCTGAGGTACAAACATTGCACGATTGAAAGAGGTAAAGTGACGCTCGTGAGAAAGTGCCCTCGCAGCTCCGGCAAAGTTGTCGTTAGCACGAATGCTGCCGCGGACCCTCGGGATATACGAGCAAACAACAACGTTGAGGCCAGGATAGCACAAACGCAAATCTGCAATTGCTTCAATGTTCCTCAACGGAAGATGGCAGTCGTCAGCCGAAAATCCGACGCGCTCCGGCGGCCTGAGCCCACGATCGATGTCCAAAACCTGATGATAATCGAAGGAGATGACACCGCCCTCAACCCCGGACACCAAATCTCGAACACCAAAAGGCTCCTGATACCCAGTATTCCCCCTCAATTGCACAGCTTCGCGAAGAGACCAAGTCCAGCAGGGCGAGGCAAAGCCTTCGCCAAGGGACGGACGACCTGTGTACGTTGTAGGAAGTCCCCGGTCTCAACCCAGTCACTGACGGCCGGCCGAGAAGCAGAGGGCAACGGACGCTCCTCGCTCTCGGACTCGTCAACTTCCCAGAGCAAAGAGCGGGGGGCAGGCGCCGAAGTAGCCGAGGCACCCCCGCTCGCGGCGGTAGCGACCTCCAGCTCTGGCTCCTGATCCTCCTCCTCGGGCTCCTCAAAAAAGCTGAGCCTGCAACTCCGCCTCCGACTCCGAACTAACCCAACTTGCACGGGTGTGCAAAGGCCTCGAAGATCCGTCGGCGTGCCGCACCTTCGCCTTCTTCGGATCCGGCTGCGTCTGAATAAAAGCGTCCCTTCTCGCTCGTGCCTTCTTCCCGCCACGAATGCCCCTGGGCATACAAGTGAAATATGAGGAAGGCGATGAGGTAGAAGACGCTCTTCGATACGGCTGATAACCAGTTGAACTCACCAAAACATCAAGTAAAAGTGAAGATAAAAGGCCATCAGGCACGCGACGCAGGATGCAATGCAGCGCACGCTCTTTTCCCTTGAGCCAAAAGTAATGCCAAAAGCGTGTTGCTTGAAAGGCATGTACAACAACAAATTTAGGAAACCGCATTGTGAAGAGGAAGTTACATGAGAGGCTGTGGTGCAAACCCCATGCAATTCAACTAAGTTGGGTGGCGTGTTTGACACTGCACAACCGGGCTCTAATGGATAGGCACGCATCCGAAAAACAACCTGCTTCCAACTATATTGAGTGGTGGGAAATTGTGTGTTTGTGTGTTTGTGTCTCTGTGTGTCTGTGTGTCTGTGTGTCTGTGTGTCTGTGTGTCTGTGTGTCTGTGTGTCTGTGTGTCTGTGTTTGTGTGTTTGTGTGTTTGTGTGTTTGTGTGTTTGTGTGTTTGTGTGTTTGTGTGTTTGTGTGTTTGTGTGTGTTTGTGTGTGTTTGTGTGTGTTTGTGTGTGTTTGTGTGTGTTTGTGTGTGTTTGTGTGTTTGTGTGCGTTTATGTGTGTGTGTGTGTTGTTGTGTGTGTTGGTGTGTGTGTGTGTGTTTGTGTGTTTGTGTGTGTTTGTGTGTGTTTGTGTGTCTTTGTGTGTGTGTGTGTTTGCGTGTTTGTGTGCTTGTGGCTTGAGTGATTTTGTGTTTTTTTGTCCGCGTGAGTGCGTGCGTACGCGTCCGCACAGCGAGCGCGCGTGCGCGCAGACGGCACGTGCGCGCGTGCGCGCGTGCGCGTGTGTGAGTGTGTGCTTGTGTGCGTGTGTAAGCCTGTGCGTGTGTGTGTGCGTGTAAGTGTGTTCCGTGCACGTTTGTGTGTGTGTGTGTGTGTGCATGTCTGTGTGTGTGTGTGCATGACTGTGCGTGTGTGTGTGTGTGTCTCTGTGTGTGTGCGTATGTGCATGTGTGCACGTGTGCATGTGTGAACGTGTGCGCGTGTGTGCGTGTGGGAGTGTGTCTGTGCGTGTGTGAGTGTGTGCGTGTGTGCCTGTGTGCGTGTGTGCGTGTGCGCGTGTGTGCGTGTGCGCGTCTGCGCGTGTGCGTGTGTGGGTGCGTCCTTGTGTGCGTGTGTGCGCGTGTGCCTTTGTATGTGTGTATGTGTGTATGTGCGCCTGTGTATGTGCGCGCATAAGTGTGTTCCGTGCAGGTCTGTGTGTGTGCGCAGGAGTGCACGTGTGTGCGTGTGTGTGCGTGTGTGCGTGAGTCCGTGTGTGCGTGTGTGTGTGTGTGTGTGTGTGCGTGCGTGTGTGTGTGTGTGTGTGTGTGTGCGTGTGTGTGTGTGTGTGGGTGTGCTTGTGTGTTGTGTTTGTGTGTTTTTGTACTTGTGTGTGTGCATGTCTCTGTGTGTGCATGTCCTTGTGTGTGTGTGTGTCTGTGTCTGTGTGTCTGTGCGTCTGTGCGTCTGTGCGTCTGTGCGTCTGTGCTCCGCGCATGTAAGCATGTGTCCGTGTGTGCGTGTGTGCGTAAGCGCGTGCGCGTGCGTGTGCGCACGAGCACGAGCACGAGCGCGTGTTCGTGTGCGTGTGCGTGTGCGCGTGCGCGTGCGCGTGTGTGTGTGTGTGTGTGCGCGTGTGTGCGCGTGTGTGCGCGTGTGTGCGCGTGTGTGCGTGCGCGTGCGCGTGCGCGTGCGCGTGCGCGTGCGCGTGCGCGTGCGTCTGCGTCTGCGTCTGCGTCTGCGTCTGCGTCTGCGTCTACGTCTACGTCTGCGTCAGCGTCTGCGTCTGCGTCTGCGTCTGCGTCTGCGTCTGTGTCTGTGTCTGTGTCTTCGTCTGTGTCTGTGTCTGTGTCTGTGTCTGTGTGTGTGTGCGTGTGCGTGTGCGTGTGCGTGTGTGTGTGTGTGTGTGTGCGCGTGTGTGTGTGGGTGTGGGTGTGTCTGTTTGTGCTTGTTTATTTGTGTGTGTGTTGGTGTGTGCCCGCTTGCGTCTGTGTGTGTGTCTCTGTGTGTCTCCATGGGGCTCCCTGCGTGTTGTTGGCATACCCTCAAGACAAACAGGCCACCGCTTGAAGGGGGAATCACCCCTGGCGGCAGGGCCGCATCAAAGGAATTTTACAAGAGCTTCAAGGGCTCGGCAACTTCAGCTTGCTCCGATTGAAAGAAGGCGCAGGTTGCGGCTTAGCGGCCCTTCAGCCAAGATCTTTAGCATCTTTGCCGGGCTCAGCTCTGCTGCTTCCGGCACCTGGCGTGAGGGTCACACACACACATGTTCGCTAAAATTACTTCAGATCCATTGCGACGGAAGCCATGGGATATTCTCTGTTTTACTGTCCTGGAAACGGAGCAAAACAGCCGCATTTCTCACGCACCCACAAGCCGCAGCCTCTGACATGACCCCCGGCTTCACAAACCTGCTGGCTGAGGCTTCTTCCCAGCGCTAGGCCAAACCAGTCTGGCGCCAAATCCTTTCAAACTTGGAAGGACCCCTGCAGCAAACAGAAGCCAACAAGAATCTGGGCGAGGCGAAGGAACACGAGATATCACAAGGGTCTCAAACGCTGCGTCTGTGAACCTCCTGGCACGCTCTGCAAACCTAGTTGAACTCAACAATGGGAAGCCTTCAAAACAAGGCGCCTGCAGCCTACAGAGTCCCACGTGTGCATGAAAGCCCAGGGCCCCCAGCTTGAGATAGCTGATGTTGGCATGTCCTGGCAGGGAACTTCCACGGTGACCAGCCAAGCAAACCTAACCTTTGCTTTTTGTTCGGGTTCGCTGAGCCGCTTTGAGCTGGAAACCCAACAAAAAAGGGAAAGCAGGATGCCACTGAACAGCTGGGTTTTGCAACCCGCGGGAACTCAGAAACATACCCATGCTGGAGTCCTACGTGCATCCAACCACAATCCTGCGATAGAAAGGGCAACCATTGCATGTCAAAGGGAACACATGCCCCGACAGAGAATAAACATGCTCAACACAAGTTAAACAATCAAAGCACGGGCCAACATTAGCGAAATCAGGGTGATTTTGTTTGTCATCTTTAAGAACAGTTCTTCGGGCTGCTTCGCCGAAGGCCTCAGATCATCCTCCGTTGGGGCCATTGGGGGGCAATGGAAACAGAGCAACAGTGACAGGTTCCATATGGTGGACCCAACACGAGACGTGCCTGAACATGCTTTTGTCCCTCCGCTTAAATATCACCCGCCCAAAAGGACTCAGTCCAAACAGGCCCAAGCATGAGGTTCAATCGCCGCCTTTGGGAGGAAACAGAAAGCAAACGAAAGGACAACATGGGAGCCTTGCCGGCGCTGCGTGTTGAGCACGGAAGCGCATACGCGGCAACTTGTAACGCTTGGACAGCTGATGTTTGCATTCTGCATAAAGAATTCAAGGGCGCTAAAAAGGGGGCTAAAACAGAAAGTTCTACGTTGACCCCTTTTGTAGAATTACAGACCCACACCACGTCTGGAAAACCATTTCGCGAGCTCCCGCTTGACATGGAGAACCCTCTGCGTTCCTCTTCGGGCATGGAACTTGTTTTTCGATGTTCCCCCCAAGACCCAAATACGGCCATAGCACAGGCTGCTGCAAACGTGTGGGATTGTTTGGGGTTGGTCCTGTGGTACATTCCTCGGGCCTGACCCTGTCTTTCTCCAGGCTTGGGTGGTGTTGCACCCACCAAATGGGTCTTGCTTTTCCAAAAGAAAAGAAAATGTGAACTGGAAATAAGAATCCCGTAGTAAAGGACCAGTATCAGCCATGTGCCCGGGGAAGCTTGCCGACTTGCGGCAAGCCAAAATTCAGTGCAGGCATGGCAGAAATTGAAAGCCAGCTCCCCAGAGAATAAACCAACCGGTCAACTCAAACCACACTGACCCGCCCAGTTTAGCTTGAACATGATGAGAATTCTGTGAAGCACGCGTTTTGCTTGGCCAACCGGACCGACCAAGCAAGATGGAGCAACTTTGATCCTTCTTGTCCTAATTACTATGTTGTCAAGTCCCCGGAGAAAGCAAGCGTCCTGTGTCTCCGGGTCCGTACACGTGATAACAAAATAGCTCAGCCTTCCGAGGGTTACCCTAGACGTCATGTTCCTAAAGCAAAAGCTTGAATATTTTCTTGCAGCCCTTGAGGACCTCTTGTTTCCTGTTTACTTCGCGGCAGGAAGTCCATGTCTGGCCGCCTTGCATGCATTCGGAATACAAAGTCGTGACCAACCAGTCTCTGCAGGGAGGCAGTTGGTACCCTCACCCTATTTATACCCCCCCCCCCCCCCCCCCCCCCCCACCCCCCCCCCCCCCCCCCCCCCCCCCCCCCCCCCCCCCCCCCCCCCCCCCCCCCCCCCCTCCCCCCCCCCCCCCCCTGCCCCGGCCCCCCTGCCCCAGGCAGTTGGTACCCCTCCGCAGCGGCAGGGCCTTGCTGCCTTCTTTCCGCAACAAGAGCTACCCCTCTACCACAATCATCACAAGGAAGCCCTCTCTCTCTCTGAGCAGAATCAAAACAGCGAACAACTCCTACACACATGCCGACAGTGAAGTGAGAAATGCCCAGTTTGGACATGTCGGTCTAAGTGGGTTGGCTTCATATAGGAACCGGGCAACCTGGCAATGGGCCGAATAAATCCCGCCCCAGGAGAGCCGCAGCCTCAAGACCTTCTGCACCCTCTTGCCTCACGCAAGGCGCGCCACCAAACTGTCAAGAGTTTGGGGGGCGTCGAAGACAAAACACCCAGAACATGCATGTAAGATCATGTAGGTGTTCTCCTCCCTTATAGTCTCCCAAGACAAGACAAGACAAAACAGGTCCACAAAAAACTATGAGTTTTAGTTTCCAATCACACGGGTCTTGCTGAAGCCAAAGATTCGGAACTGAATTCCCATGGCTCTCCAAGTCCCATTGCCTGAGTGTTTCACGGCAAAACATGAAAAAAGCGTCAAAAAGGCCAGAGGTCTGCTTTGGTGCAAGTAGATTAACTATACAGCAAGCTGCACAAGTGAGACCTTTCATGTGTTTTGTGCTTCAATGGCCGCGTGAGATGTTTGGCATGGGAAATTCCCCCCCCGGTGCCCGAGTTGGAAACAAGAGGACGCATTGTTTAGGATGCAAGATTCACCCATGAGGTCGATCAGAGCCAGGCGCCTCTTGCAAGCAACTGCCTGTTCACGATTCACACTTCTGCAGGCCATCGCTTTTGCGAGGCACAAGATCGGCCCCGCATACCGCAATGAGTAACAAATGAACAGATTGAAGCTTGAAAATAAAGAAATTGATGCGCGCCAAAAATCCAATAGAAATCGATGAACTGCTGCCAGTACTGGCCCTTCCAGGCACGGTCGCCCTCCTTCCAACGGCACCCCCAGCCGCCCCATGTCACTCTCGGCGGAGTCATCATATCATCATACCAGCGAGACCATGTACCACAGTCAGAACCCAGACCGTCCCCGAGAGCAAACACATCTTTCCTGGTAACCCACGTGGAAGGAACTCCCTGCAACGATTGCCCAAAACAATCCCTCCCTACATTGAATTGGAGGCAGTGTTGCACGCATTTTCCAGCATGGGCGTCGTCGTGTGTTGCTACCCGACCCTTGTCCATCCTCACTACCCCTTCATCACCTTAAAGCAGGTAGGCGCTGGAAAACTCCCTATTTGCTCAGTTGCCCAGTATAGTGCGCGGTATAATGTCCACGCGCCCGTTGGCCCTTTTTCAGCTAGACCGGAACTCTTGTGGGTCCCGAGACCTTTCGCCCCAAGAGCTGAAATCACGGTAGACCGTTTTCCAAAATAACAAATGAAATCCTCAAACTTAGCCCGCGCTGGACCAAATAAGCTCCGATTTCAGGGGCCGCTCAGGTGCTGGGGAGTCCGGATCTCGACCTCTGGGGCAGCCACTGGAGAGAAGGAGCAAAAGCTGCTTGCGGGTCTCCTCGTTGCCTCACACCAAAGCGCAAGCGCAAAAGCGAAGTCCAGGTTTACCCCCGCCTCAGGTTTTCCCGAAACCCTTCAGAAACCGATCTTTAGGCACATTTCCCAAATAGTGTACGAGTGGGCGAGCGGAGTGTGCAAGTTGGGCGTGCGAGTGTGCGAGTGGGCCGCGCCACTCATCTGCTCACTTGCGCCTTCCAGTCCACTCGTCCGCTCGCTCGCCCGTTCCGCTCTCCCACGCTCGCAGAGTCCACTGGCACACTTGCACACGCTACTCGCACACAGGTACGCAACTCGGAGGGCACTTGCGCAGGAACTACCATGCTTGAATTGCGCAACCCCTTGGGCCCAGCTAAGCTAAACCTGCTGTCGGGGACCCGTGCCTTTGGGGGGGGCGCCACAAAAGTGGACCCTAGCTGTGCAATCAAAAGAAAGAGGCCTTAGGCTCTCACCGTCTTCTGCCAAAGACAAGAACCCTTAGCCGTATGCCGCTCCATGCAATGGCAGCCACCCCCGAGAACTTGCTGGCTCCTTGCCCGGAGGCTGCGGTGGTCATTGGGTCGCATGAATTGCGGGGCTGAAGCAGCAGTCGACTCACAATCTTGCCACACTGTGCAAGGTAACTTGATCAGAAAACTTGCATTCTGGTTGAAAACATGTCAATGCCATTCGCCGAATTCATGGCTTCCCGCTTTGAGATCGGCTTTACAACAGAGCCAAGCACCTACTACATATCAGAAACAAACCAATAAACAGAACAACAACAAACAACCAATCTCATCTTCAAATATGCAGAAGATGACAACAATCAAATGCCCCGCTCAAACGAAGACAAACAACACAACTAGACAATGACACCAGCCAAGCCCAACAACGAGTCAGCGGAACAGAGGCCCGCTCAAGTAAACATGAGCCAGGAACAAAGACAACAAACGGGGAGCCAAATTCAGTGGCAGAGATATATCGCGCTTTTCACTTAGTACCCTGTGAATTAACAATCGAAACTTGTTTCCCCCCTCCCGGGCACAACAAAAATCCCACTTGAAAACAGGCTCTCCCCCTCCAACAGCTGGATTGATATTTCTTGGAAAGGGTCCGCTGGTGATTCGTCGCTGGGGCGTCCGGCTGCTGTTGCTCTCAGTCCTGTCGCTGTTCAGGCTGTCCAGGCGCCTAGCTGCGAGGCACAGTTCCCAGCTGGAGCTGGGTTTTGAGGGCACTGCTTCCTGGCCCAGATCCGGGATGTCACGCAAACAAATGTGTTTGC